GAGAACAACTTTTGGGAAAGCAAGGCTATGTGAAATTCAATGGAAACGTAAGCTCAACTCATATCATTGTAGGAAAATTCTGCTACCAGTCCTTCATCACCTTACACAAAATAGGGTGAACACATTTCATCACACTGATTTAATGGTAGTCTCGAAACCCTACTCAAATACGACTATAATATATAAACACCAACTTTGAAAATAATTCGAGATAATACACAAACATGGCATGGTCTAAAGATTGAATCAAAAATTGCTCTTACTAGGGTTGCAATTAAGATTAATTCAAGCGGGCTCTGCTGATAAATTATTTAAAACGAGTTAAGTCATTAAACAAGGTCATATAAAATTGAAACCTAGGCGGATACAAAGGCCAAAAAAAACAGAGCTTAAAATCCAGACAATGAAAATCACATCATTAGCAAATTGACTAAATAAATCATGCTGTCTCATGAAGCGTGACTCTGAGGTAAGCAAGTATTTATTAAACGTGTTTTCTGGGCAAATATGTGGTTTTACGATTCTCAATTTACTTTTCCATATATATATATATATGGATATTAAAATATGGGATTTTACTAAATTTTTAAGCATATCTAGAGAAGGTTTTAAATATACTCCAAAGATTGGCATTACGATGAGTGGTGTATCGCTTTAATGCTATCTGTGTAGTATAATCTGTGGTAATATTAAAATAATGACCTGTTTTTAAATCTGGACGAGTATAAAATAGCCATTTATCAAATGGAAAGTCTTGACATTTCATAAAATGTGACAAATTTCTTGGTAATTAAAAATGTTTCCCCACCGGCCAAAATAACGAGAAAATAAATCTTTGGGCATTTCATTCCGCCAACACATACGTTTCTGCTTCAGAAATTCGTTCAAGCGTACGAATGACATTGTCTCTAGTCGAGTTGATTTCTAATAAGAGAAAACAAATCACAATAAGCCAAAGATATAGATTTGATCAGTCATGCTAAAAATAAAAATTAATTAAATGTGATATACTTAGTTTTATTAAAGAAGGTTTTTGTTGCAAATAAATCACAGTTATCGAACTCTGAATTAATATACTAATAATATAATTGTGGTTTTGGTATGCTTGGTATTATATCAGTAAGTGGTTATCTCAGAGTAGCCGAATATCTCATCTTTACAGTTTAGAGATTGTTCCATATAAGGCAACTTGTGACTGATTTTTAGAAGCGTTTATGTTCAGCGCATTTGCTAATCTCGTCCTTTTCGTTAATGCCAGAATTGAGAGGAAGAACTAAATTTCAGATAATTATCTAAGGAAATGGCCTGGCTACAATAAAATCTCGGATCCACTTAGAGGGGAGGGTCGCTTAGTTTATTACAAGACAAGGAATCTCTAGTAAAAAGATACTTAATATTATTCCAAATGAGTAGAATCATAAATTATGAGTAGATTCGAGTTGGCTTGGGTTGCTTACGGACTTGTAGTTGAATTTCCATGTCTCTTAATGCTATCTAAATTAACTTAGCATGGCCTTAAGAGAAACACATTTGCCTGTACTTTCTCTTTAAAGTCCAAAGGTGACTTGCTTTCTGATTCAAAATCTAAAAACAGTTTACAAATCAGATCACTTAAAGGCAAAGCAGTTGGCATTCAGTGGAGGTCCTAGACGTTTAATGGGGGAGATTTTAGCCATATTACTATAACATCGAAATCCCAGAAGAAAAAATCAGAGGTGGTAATTTTAGATTTGATATATACCTTCGAACGAAATTATATTTGCAAGATTATATCATCACCAGATACGTCGATTGGGTAAGGGTGATGCAAAAAATATAGGTTTATAGAAATGGCAGAACATGGAAAGTACCCAGTTCCTCGTCAGAATTAATTAAATTTCGCAGATGCAGAAATAACAGGTGATGCTGAAGATGTTGGATTTTGGGCTCCTGTCCGGGAGACTCTGCCTCACGACGGGGCAATGAGCCAGAGCTGGGGTCAAAGTGATCATGAATACGCTGCTGTAGAAGCAAAAGTACAATATGTATGGCTAAATGACGACCATGCCACTCTGGAGTGGGAGGGACAAGACACTCCCCGTCTGCCTCCGGAGGAGGCTGTCTGCATGAAAACTGTGGCACGTCTTTTATCTCATCAGGACTCGCGCTACCGTCCAGAGATGGTGAATTGGAATGTGGTGCCGGAGTTGCCTGACCTTCATTGAAAGTCTGCTGGAGTTGAGCCAAGCCGATTTGCAGAGCTATTGGGAGACAAAGTAGTGGGCACGACATTAGATCTCGAGCTAGGCCGATCCAGGCCTCGTGTAACCAACCGCCGCCGGAACCATAGTAACGCTCGATACTGCAACGAGCTCGCTCTTTGGCTTGCATCCGCTTGCCGGTCATCCTCTGTCCTCGAGACGAGCCAGGGCCAAGACCCTTGACAGAATGGGATTTGGAGTCAGACCTTCTCAGGTTGACAATACCTGAAGTAGACCGGCAGAGTGGCGGCGCTAGTGGCAGGCTACAACCACAGGGTAGCTGACCGGACGGAAAGATATCTAACCAGGGATGCGGGAAATCGCCTGAAACGTCGGATAAGTCGGCTGGTGAAGATGAAATGCGGGCATAAAGAGATTCCACCAAGACATGCCTGGGTTCGGACTTAAGGCTTGAAAACTCGGGCAAGGACAGGAAGTGAGATAAGCGACTTTGGGTGAGGCTCGTGTCCTGTTCAAGGTGAAGTCTGCATATGCCTTGGAACCTTGTAAACAGCCTGAAAAAATATATTATAGAGAATAAAGTAAAAGCTTTTTATGAAAGAAGTGCATTAACCCTATTTCGTTTAAGGTTATAATGAGACTGGTAGTTGAATTTTTCCCACAATGATAAGAATAAAGCTTACATTTCTACTTACATTCATGCTGTTTTGCTTTCCCAAATGGTATCCTTATCCAGGGTGGATTGCAGTTTCGACCTTGCCTAGATCGTATCAATAGCCCCAGCAGGAATCGAACCCTGACAATGCAGAGTTTAATCTCGATATTTTAACCACTACGCCACATTGACACGAGTGCCCATTATAACCTTAAAATAAATAGAGTGAATAAACTTCGTATATGAATGACCTACTGATAATATCGAAAACCTGCTTATAAACGAAACATAAGTAACGTAGTCGATTGCTATAGCAAAATCAACTTTGCTTCATCGAAAATCCCATCACAGTATGTAATATGGGAAAATGCCTGGCCTTCCTTTGAATTCACATTTTCCCTAAAGCGTTCGTGGCCATGTTGCGTAGTTGTTAACGTAGCGAGATTACATGCAGCACTGTCATAGTTCGAGTCCTGATGCGGGTGTGTCGAGGTCGAAACTGCAGTCCACCCTGTATAAGAATAATTTTTGGGATGGCAGAACTATGTGAAATGCAATGTGAATGTAAGACCTACTCATATTATTATGAAACAAATTCAATTATCAGTTTTATTATCACCTTTAATAAAATAGTGCTAATACACTTCAATAAAAATGACCTACTGGTAGTCTCGAAAGCCTAATTATAAACGAAACATAAAAGACATTTGATGAAAAACTATTTGTGACTTGTTTTGACGTAAAAAACTTGCAATAAAAGATCACTCGTATTAAGGAAATTAATCTTTTTTCGCCTAAATACAAATTTCACATAATTATACAAAAGATATCTTTATTTACGAGAACTTAGTCCGCCTAGGTCGCTTAAGGTGATCTAAGGAATGACATAATAGTTTCCCCACATTCAGATGAATAGGCCTCAGGATGTTGTATAGGGGGGTGGTAGAATCACAACTATGTTCATGACTCTGTACCAAATCCGGTATGGACTGCTGATGAGATTTAGGCGAACTCAAAGCTGTAAATCAGTTTGGATAGCATAGCCTTTTATGAAGAAATGCTAAGTAAAATTCTAAAACATCATTAAGCCAATTAATCTACTTTAAGAAGACTCAATTACCAGTTCTTAAGCTGGCTAGGCTAAGT